ATGATTTCTAAACTGCCACCACTCCCTTATTTTCAGGCCCACCTACACAAATCTTATATCAAAACGTTCAGCTATCCCTGCTGCCACTAAACATGTCAACGGCTAAGCCGTAGTCCTGATAGTTTTCACAATATAATCATTTGTTTGCAACTAACGCCGTCCATTGACTTTCATTGAAACTTCACTCTGCAAATCTCAAATTTGAAGTGCAATTTCTAAACTGCGACTGTGCCTTCAATTTTAATACTTCAGAGACATACTATGCATCAAATGTAGGTCTGGGTCTTGTGATTCTCACAATATAAAGCTCTTCACTGTAGGAGTTATAGTTTTTAAGATACGACCGTTTGAAGATGGCAACCACCAAAATACTCTGACCTGTGTCAAGCTGCAGCAGTAAGTGATGTCATAGACAGGGCCTTTTGAACACCTGCTAATGTTTTTATAAATGTATGGTTTAATGTAACTGTGCAACAACGTTGCAATTAAATGTGCTATGTAAATGATAACAGTTACTCCGCCCACTCCAGTTGTAGACTACTGGTGGAGGCAAGAACACTTCACACAATTTCACCAGAAATTGTAGCTTTTCTAGTTATTATTCTTATTATTATTATTTATTCATTATGGATTATTTATTTATTATATTATATTATATTATTATCATTATGGTTTATTTATTATATTATTATTTATTATATTATTATCATTATTATGGTTTATTTATTTATTATTATATTATTATTATTATTTATTATGGATTATTTATTTCTTTATTTATTATGAATATATATGTTTTGGGCTGTTGCAGGCACAGTGCGCGCTCCCGCGGTGACAGGTGACGCTGACGTGCCCGTTCCCGCCTGCCCCTTCGATCCTCTCAGCGCGCCTGCGCGGTGACGTCACCTGAAGGAGGAAGTGAAGCGTTATTTGATAATGGCGGCGGTGTGAGGGAAGCTGCGGCTCGGGCTGTGAGGGAGGGCGCTGCCACATTGGGTTTGGGTGAGTATCCGGCTCCATGTCCCGGCCCCCAGGGAATCGGCGGGGGGAGGGCTGCCCTCTGAGCATTGCCACTGGGGGGGAGGGGAGGGGGGTAATCGGAGAGCTGCCACCTCTCATCTAATATTATACCCCTCTATATATATACCCCTCTATACATACTCCCCTCCTCTATATATCCCCCCCCCATATACCCCCTATATATCCCCCTCTATATTACTCCCTCCCTCTATATATCCCCCATCATATAAGTACCCCCCCCATCATATATATACCCCTCTATATATACCCCCACGGTCGACTTTGATCGATCTGGTCTTTTATCTTATCTCGACTTCGACTTTATCGACGGATTTTTTATTTTTGTGTATTTTATTTTATTTTATTTTATTTTATTTTTATTTTTATTTTTATTTTATTTTATTTATCTTGATTTTGTGTTTTGTATTTTATTTTGTGATATTTTATCTTTATCTTTGTCCTGAGACTGAGACAGACACCTTCATCCTCCTTTTACTCCCTCATCCTCCTTTTTACTCCCTCACCAATAGGTGCAGTAGTGATGGTGGGTTCACTGTATATACAAACATGAAGGGGTTAATTCATTTCACCAGTAGGTGCAGTACTGATGGTGGCTGCTCTGTATATCTACACACACATGAAGAGGTTATTTAATTTCACTAGTAGATGCAGTAGTGATGGTTACTGCTCTGTGTATATACACACAGAGGTTAATTGATTTCACCAATAGGTTCAGAATATATATATATATTACACACATACACGGCATATTGTATCTCCATAGAGTGGAAGAACACAAGGATCTTAGTGTATGCATTGAATGTTGGTGCCTATATTTAGTATTAATATATAATATGTATTATACAAAACATCCGGAATATAAATTAGGAGCCATACATTAACAAATACAGTGTGCTTGGAAATAATTGGAATGCACAATTATTACAGCCTTCAAGTTAGGTATTCTGTGCACTGGGCGTATGGGGAACTGGCCAGGGAATTGGGCATTTTACACCTAAATAACTAGACGGGGAAACCAATCTATTTTCAAACTAAAACCTTTACATTCGAAATCCTTGGTTTTGTTGTTTTAGAACAGAATTTTGCATTTCCTTGTTCCTCTCTCCTCAATTCCTGTTTGAGGGGAAAAAAACCTATTGGCTCTGAAAGCATCATGCTTAACAATTGGTAGCAATATTCTCATTATAGCCGTTTATTTTCTCTCTAACACTAACAGAGGATAGATTGCTTAGTTTTACTCAATGTTTTTATACAGGTTTATTTAGCTACATTTTGTGGTTTTCTAAATATATTGCCATTTAGGGCAATCCCTATATACTTTGAACTGCATTTTGGTGATTGTTGCAGGTGTAAAAGTTTAGGGGATATCCATTTTTAAAAAAAAAAAAAATTTTAAATCAATATGTTGGTGGGACTTTTATAGCAAATGAATCATGGTGAGCAGTGATGCAGCTAATTTAACATGTTTCACAAAACGATGTAACACTATATTGCTCTGATTTGATCTCTGAGCAGAAGTCTGCAAAATATGCTAACAAAATGTTAACGCTTTATTAACTTTCGATGGACAATTAGATTGCAAACCAGTCAGTTGTCTGTTTTTTGCTCTCACGGGTTAAAGTCAGCCCATAGATAAACAAATGAAAATGTGCAGATTTTGGGGGCATGTCTTATTAAACTGCTCTGTAAGAGAAATCTGATAAATCTTTTCGCACTTGGGTTTCTGCGGCAAGGTTAACGTAAACATATAGTCACGGTGGATGATGTAGCTTTGTAAGGGCACATTAGAAGTATTTTATTTTTGGTTTTCTGTAAGTAGTGCAATAGAGATTCTAATTACGCTAATAATATTGCTTAACCTGAAAGTCTTGTTTTATTTTTTTAATGACTTTGTCAGTGACTTTTCTTTGCCTCATTAGGCAGATGTGATGTGAAGGTGACAACGTTCTCATTTACCTATAGGTGACTCCTGATGGCTTCTTCCTGTCTAGCAGAGTTTAACAAACTCCAGTCTCAACCAGACTTGGGAACAATGAAAAGTTTTTCTGTGGGCCTAACAATGGAAAATATTATTTATTATTTTTGTGTGCATGTGCCATCCATATTTCCTGGAATATGTAAACAAATAGAAACAAAATTGCAGTTCAGTAGATATACCCCCAATGAAAATATGGATGTATGTGTGCATTTTTTTTTTTTTTTTTTGGTTTAAATCTGAAAATGACTTGTAATAACTGCAGATCTCTTTTCTGTAAGCCCTCCCCTTCTCAACCTGCCCAGACTTTCTGTGGCTGTCCAATCACAGACTCCCCAATGCAGCTCAATGAGAAGTCTTTGCAAGGCAGGTGCTCTGACAATTGCTGCCTCTTGAGTTTCTCCACTGAGAAGTGACTTTCTATTGAAATCTGCATTATTTTTTTTTATAAAATGAAAAAAATAGGACGCATCTGGAGTGTTCTTTTACATATTGATAATTATCCTGGGCTGCTTTGTGTACCTTTTTTATAGAATGTTATATTTTTTTTTTTTAAATATTTTTCCTCAATCCACATTGGTTCCAATATTTGTTCACAAAGCGTATACTGTCGTAAGGCATACATTGAACAGCTCATTTAGAGAATAGATTATACATCACAAGAGGGCTCTAAGCTGCGTTGCGCGTGAGTATTTCTGTGATTTGAGTTTTTTTGTTTTGTTGTGTAAGCCTGGCGGGGTGTCGCATGAGTGGAGTGGCCACTGGTCTGTGGGTCATAGGAGTAGTACGGGTGGTAGGCATTCCTGTGGCCAGGTATATGCCCCTTCCCTCAGAGAACGTTTGTGCATTCTGTGCATTTTTTAGGGTTAGGGAGTTTCAAGTTGTATCTTTGCCTCTGATCTTCCTGGGCGTCCAGCCTGCGATCAATCTGCAGCCTGTGCTGGTCCAGGGCAGCCAGACCTCTCTCCACCACGGTAAGCCGGCTCTCATGTGTGTTTTGAGTGGTCTCGAGTTGGGCCACTACAGTAGTCGCGTGTTCAATGGCTTTTCTGAGGGGGGCCAAGTCTCCCGCGGAGTTCTGCTAGCATCGCCTTGAGTTGCGCCGCAGTGACCGGATCCCGGCCTGTTGCGGCCTCCATTGGGATATTGCCCTTCTGTACAGCCTGGGTGGTTCTTTCCATCGGGGCTATAGCCATATCTTCCGATGAGTATGAGGAGCCGTCGTCTGCCAGCGCCATGTGAGCTCCGGAATGGGCCCCCGATGTCCCGGCCCTGCGGGCTCCTGTCAGGCTTGGGTTTTTTGTTTTTGCGGCCCATCCTCGGTCTAGTGTCCAGGGAATTGGGTTTTGTGAGGTTGGATGATCCCTTGTCTGCAATTTTAGCTGTTTTTAGGCAGTTTCGAGCGGAGCACAGCGAGCTTGCGACCATCCAGGTTCACCGCTAGGCTCTGCCTCAAATCTGTCATATTTTAACTAGTTGCCTCCTCTTCTTTACGCCCCAATTTGTGAATGTTCCCAGCATATTTTTCAATAGAAAATCAAATTTTATTTATAAAATATTTTACCAGGAAAGATACATTGAGATTTCTCTCGTTTTCAAGTATGTTCTGGGTCCACAAAACATTGCATTGATACATTATGGTACAATAAAATACAAAAACAATATTAAAACATAATTTATACAAAATTTAACATAGAATAGGTAGGAAATATATAATCAACCATGACATGTGCATTCTGTTTTGAGGTATGTAGAGAGGGATCTCTTAAAGGACTTTAGGCCTAGGGAAGATTTTAAAGTGTGCGGGAGGTCGTTCCACAATTGCGGCGCTCTGTAGGAAAAGGAGGATCGGGCTGCTTTCTTTTTGTATTGAGGTAGACTAAATAAAGTCCTGGTACTGGATTGGGGTTTATAGGACAGGTAAAGGCAACCTTCGGCATGCCAGATGTTTTGGACTACACCGCCCATGATGCTTTGTCAGCATTATGGGGGATGTAGTCCACAACATCTAGAGTGCCCAAGGTTGCCTACCCCTGTTATAGGAGGTGGGAACAGCCGAGGAGAGCATTTTGCTCAGGTAGGGTGGGAGTTTCCCAGAAATGCTCTTAAACACAAGGCTGGAAAGATGAAGGGTGCGTCTGGATTCCAGCGACAGCCAGTTTAGTTCTTTTAGCATGTCACAATGGTGGGTCCTGTAATTACATTGTAGCACAAATTGGCAGAACGAGTTATACAATGTGTTGAGTTTATTAAGGTGGGTTTGCGGTGCAGATGCATATACTACATCACCATAATCAATGATTGGCATCAGCATTTGCTGTACAATCTATTCCTTTACTGTAGGGCTTAGGCAGAATTTGTTACAGGGCACCTAGTTTTGGATAAAGTTTAGATGCAAGTTTTTCTATGTGGAGGCCAAAAGTCTAACATCATACCCAAGTATTTTAAAGAGTGGACTGCGGTCAGTGTGCCATTTGAATTTGTTTTGATGGATAGGTGGGAATTGTGTAATTTAGGTACTGTTCCACAGCTCATTGTGACAGTTCTGTCAGTGTTTAGGAAGAGTTAGTTTTTTTGTGATTCACTTTTCTTCCTCTGTGAACTGGTCTTGGAGCATAGCCTCAAGCTGTGGTAGATCAGATTTGCTCGCATAGATTACTGTGTCGTCTGCGTACATGTGTACATTTGAGGATTTGCAGGCTTTAGGCAGATCATTTATGAATAATGTAACTAGTAGGGGGCCGAGAATGGAACCATGGGGAACACCACACGTGACTGGGAGAGTGAGGGAGTTGCTGTCAGAAATGGACACACATTGCGAGCGATCCGATACATTAGATCGAAACCAGGTTAGGGAACAATCACCAATACCTGAGTTTTTGAGTTTGTGCAGTAGAATGTCGTGGTCTTACCGTGTCAAACGCCTGACTTATTTGCGAGGTATAATATGGTGTTTCTAAATTTCCATCCAGCATCATGGGATTTATAGTTCTGCTAAGCCTAGGGTGTTACTTTTAGGACAACACAGCTATTATTATTATTATTATTATTATTATTTATTATTATTATTTTTAAAGAGCCAACATATTCCAAAGCACTGTACATCTGGAAAAAAAAGACAGTCCAAAATAAACAGACCCGTTAAGTGACTTTGTGGAATCGAGCCTAATGAATAGAGATCTATTTAGCTGATGGAATTCACAGCCAGGATGCAAGGGGGAGGTTGAGCAAAGCAGATATTTCTTCTATACAACTGAAATATTTGCTAACCAAGTTATATCAGCCGAAATATTAAAGGATCACTATATGGTCAGGAACACAAAAATGTATTCCTGACACTATAGTGAAACCCTTACCATATAGGTGGCTTGCCTCTAGCCCCCTGAGAATGGGTTAAAACTCACCTTATTTTCATCTCTCCACGGGTATGCTGGCGCTCGCCTCACCCCCTTGGTGACATCATCAAAATTCCCACGGGGAAAGCATTGGATTGGCTAAAATCGGCACGGGGCCCCTCAGGGCACTATAGTGCCAGGAAAGAGTGTTTTCCTGGCACTATAGTGGTCCTTTAAGCTGTAGTAGTTCTGGTGACTATAGTGTCCCTTATTAACTCCATGTAACTGCAAGTGCAAAATATTACAGTAGTAAACTACAGGTAAAAATTTAAACAATGTGCTTACAAAGGTAGAATAAATTGGGTGGTTAATGTAAGGTTTAACTAACTAACCCTGGGAGGATGATGGCCTGTTAGTCCCTGTTTGCACTGTTATGAGCATTGCTGTGAAATGCACAATCACCGGGGTCACTTGCAGTATTTGCTGATGCCTCGATTGATGTCTTTTTACTTGGAATACATTGAAACATTCTAACTTGGTTCTTTGTACAGATATTCACATACAAACAGGGTAGATTTACTTGTAACAAACCTCCAAACTAGGCACATCCTCCAGGCCTCGAAGGGTCGGTGTATGTTCAGGACATGAGATCCCCAGTTTTTGTTCTGTCTCGATGTCCATAAAACATAAGGAAGTAAAGGTCCGTATTCTCAGGCCGTCAGAAAGGAATATCTTCATTTACTGGTCCTCCTTTGGCCCTGGGAAATTCCCTGATTAGCACATTGTATATTGCTTTATGGGTTGTGGTGCACACTGATTTCTATATATCTCTCTGTATCCATAAGCCAGTGCGAGCTGACTGAGTTAGAAAGTAACACCAAACATGCTTTTCTTTGCTTGTGCTTCGACTACCGCTTTAAGAAACTGATCTTTACTGCTATTTGGAAATCCCCATTTCAATTCTGCAGCTGATATCCTTTGGACCATGTGATCCTAGTTTGTCTTATTATACATGTTCACAGGAATCACTTTATTGCAAAGGTACAGCTTCCAAACCAGACCGATTCATTTCTCAAAATACAGGATTTTCTCACATACATACGCGCTTCTGTTCTGAAACCATTTCTGTGTGTATTAGAACATATTTATGCTTCACGCATGTTTACATCACTATCATTTGATCTTGGTGTATCTTTCGCATTTTTTTTTCTATTTTTGATGTACATGTGTATAGCAAGAATAACAGTACAGACATTTACAGATTGTCATGAGATAAGCATTTCCATCAGCAAATGTGTATATTGTAATCAGCACCCATTGCAGAGCTGTAGTAATGGGTCAAGCTGAGGCACTGCAAATAGATTCAACTGCTGAGATAGTTGTGTGCAGGTTGGCACTTGAATCTGGTCTCTTCCTGATCTTGTAAGACTTGCGGGTAACCGCCAATATAAGCAGCTGTCGGGTAATCTTGGTTTTCCGGTTATTAAGCTTGTGTGGAGTGCGACCAGCCACCATGATGCTCAGGCCCCGCCCCTGCATTGTTATTTTTAATAACCGGTACTCCGCTTTTGTTTACATGTGATATACGTCATATAAGCAAGTTAAAGTTACATTTTCATACCTTGTCCTTTACGAAAAGTGTGACAGCGCAAGAATGGCGTGTAAATGTTTCAGAGACATGCGTTCATAGGAAAAATGAGTTGTTAGGCTCCTCCTTTTATTTTAGGGTACATCGGTAATCTCGGTTTATGTACACTCAAGGTGGTTCAGATTTGAGAACTAACTTACAAAAAAATGGAACACCCTGATAAAGATAGGCTTGTTTAGGAGATGAATACCATGGGCGTTGTATTAAATGCAGATATTGTGTGACTGCGAGTACATAATGCGAGATGGATGATCTGATGGAACATGGAGAAGATAGAACGGGGGAGAACATATTTGCATGTCCTTGACCTGTACTGTGTGGACATGTTTTATTTTTTGAGATTTAGAGCTAGAATTTTTTTTTTTTTAAATTAAAATTGTTCTCTAATTGTTCTGAACTTTCAAACTAGTTTGGTAACCTCAATGATGAGCCCTTAGGCATCCCGCAGGTCTGTATAAAGATTTTTCTCATTGTTTACCATTTCAGTCTCTTTCTTCAAGTGACTGGAAGGCATGACCTATAACACCAATAAAATGCTGGGGACTTTTCTCTGTTAGACTCCCTGACTCCCTGGGGCTGTCACTGCTAATCTAAATGCACATTCACTTAGGTGGTCCTGTCATTTTAATGCAGTGATTGCCACCTTGGCATCCCAGAGATTTGGAAACTACAGTTATTGCTCTGCAGACCTGGCAAAACTACTTTTATTTACTTTTTATTTTTATTTTTTTCAATTTACATTTTTTTTTCTTTGTCAAAGTAAGGAACTGGGTAAAAAAAAAAAAGACGGAAGAGTCTAACATTGTCCTGAGATAACATGTTATACGTGTGTGTGTGTATGTATATGTGTGTGTATATATATATATATATATATATGTATGTGTGTGTATATATGTATGTATATATATGTATATATATGTATATGTATATATATATATATATATATTTGCACATTGATATGGGAGATGAAATCTGTGATTTACAAGTTGTTCAGGCTAAGAAATACCTTATATTTCTGTCTGTAGGAACATTAAAGAAATTAAACATTTCCATGGAAATTGAAACTATAACCTGTGGGTTGTATCAAGTGGAAGCTTTGCGACCAAAACAAGTGTTTTGAAGGTCTAGAGCAGCTGATGTGATATAGAGTATTTGCTGAATCTTTACATGTCCCGCACAATGGGAATGTGTATACGTGCTGGGGTCAAGTACCAACAGTAAATTAATTTACTTGTTTCTAAATGGTTTGTACAGCTTGCAGCCCCTCTTAATGCCACCGGAGCTCTGTGCCAAACTTGAATGTCAAAAGGCTTGCCAATATCCTCTTTCCACTTACGCATGTAATGGGCATTGGAGGAAGATAGAGGGTGTAGAGAATTAATTTAGACATTCAGGGTGAGAGAAAACACCGGTTATATGGGTACGGTATGTTTGATTGCTTTTACCTGCAAATACGTAAATATTAATAACAAATCAATGGTAACAGTAGAGGCTAGCTCTGGGATTATTTGGGAGGCTGTGGAATTATAGGGACACTCCACACTCACTCAATGTCAACTTGCTAAAGTGCTTTGTGTGTTTGGAACCTGTCACATATCTGACCATTCATAGAAGTGTGTAGATTTCAGTAGCGCTTTTATATTTTATATATAATTTATCTAATCAGCCAGGGAGGTTTTCTTCCGCTTTCGTTTGCGTCAGGAATGTAACAGAAGTGTCAGGTGTGCTGTGAGCGCTTAGAGCGCTTAGTTTCCCTTTGCAGTGAGCTATATTGGAAAGCCACAAGAGGGTGCACTTGTGACTCTAGCAGCGACACTTCTCTTTGAGAGGACTCTGATTGCACAGGCTTTCACTCTGAGCAATCATTGGGAAATAGACCCAATGGGAAGAAAGTGTAATTATATGTTCTCCTTGGGGTATATCTACTAAATTATTTTTAAAAATCCGTTAAGAGAGAAAACCCAACACTGAAGCCTGCTCTGCATGATAACTCTGATCAAACTCTCAAACTACATTGTACAACTATACTTGTGTAAATGTCAGGCATGCCCAATGCACTTTTCCACATTCCTAGGGATAGGACACTGATGGGTTCAATCAGTTTGTCCCTGTGGGTGTGAAAAGCTTAAAGGACCACTCTAGGCACCCAGACCACTTCAGCTTAATGAAGTGGTCTGGGTGCCAGGTCCTTCTAGGGTTAACCCATTCTTTTATAAACTGAAACTGCTATGTTTATGAATGGGTTAAGCCTTCCCCCTATTTCCTCTAGTGGCTGTCTCATTGACAGCCGCTAGAGGCGCTTGCGTGCTTCTCACTGTGATTTTTCACAGTGAGAGCATGCCAGCGTCCATAGGAAAGCATTGCAAATGCTTTCCTATGCGACCGGCTGAATGAGCGCGCAGCTCTTGCCGCGCGTGCGCATTCAGCAGACGGGGAGTATCGGAGGAGGAGAGCTCCCCGCCTGGCGCTGGAAAAATAAGTTTTTTGTTTTGTTTTTTTTTCCTCCCCCCTTTCCCCCTTCCAGAGCCGGGTGGGGGCACCCTCAGGGCACTATAGTGCCAGGAAAGCGAGTATGTTTGTTTTCCTGGCACTATAGTGGTCCTTTAAGACAGAAGCAGGTAAATATGAAACTGGAAAATCTTGGCAAAAATTTAATCTATGCATTTCTATGAGGAAAGTTCAGTGTCTCCATGCAGAGGGTGGAGACACTGAATGTCAGTCACACTGTGCAGCACTGCCCCAGGAAGCACTTCTAGTAGCCATCTAAGGAGTGTCCAGTGGAGGTATCCTTAGGCTGTAATGTAAACACTGCATTTTCTCTTAAAAAACGCGTTTACTGCAAAAAGCCTGAAGGGAACGATTCTTCTCGCCAAAACAAATACAACAAGCTGTAGTTGTTCTGGTGAGAATAGTATCTTTTTTTAATAAATTACTATTTTTATTGTATTTAACAATCACTTTGTAGAAAACGCTTATAAACACCCTCCATATTCACAGCATGCATAATCAAGGCTGTCTTTAATGAAATCTTTCTAAAGTCTTGTGATGGGACGTAAGCAGTTTGTAGTGTCAATGCCACGTTATTATAAAATACATTTTGCCTCGCTGGTCAATCCACAAATGTGATGCCCCTGTGCATGATCTATCACACACATGCATGCTCTGAGTACTAGTTTAAAGGATTAAACCATGATCTTTCAGTATTTTGAAGTTGTTGTGGAGCAAAGACCCTGTTGTTGTTTGTGTTTTTTTTAATCTTTTTTGTGTTTGGTTTTTTTTCTCGATCTAAATAAATTGTTTGCACGCTCCCATGGTCCTTGAAACTGACCCGAAAGGAGAGAACAGGAGTGGAGAAAGATTTAAACCACATAAAATATACTGGCCATTGCACAAAATGTAGATTGCATGCACCGTGTCCTTTGCATTTGCACTTCTATTGTGTCAGCCCTTTCAAGCTGCGGGGAATGGCACATCATCCGGCAAATATTAGTGCTAACTGGCACCACTTGAAATTGTCATTTAGATCTGACCTGTCCTCTGAAAGCAATGGTCCATTATTTAACGTGTTAAAAGACTCTGCAGACATTTGATTTTCTGGCAAACATACCTAGAATTCGCTAGTATCAATTATTGTTCAATGCAAACAAAATAAAAAAATAGATGTGTGTGTGTGTATTGTAAAATCTGAATTGTCACTTCATCTGGGGTTTTTTACATTTGTGATGGTTTTTTGTTTTTGTTTGTTTGTTTTTTAAATAGTTTTAACCTTTCTCAGGTCATTCAACCCAGCAAAATGTCTTTATTTTTCCCCACTGCCCTTCTAGCAGTAGGTTTTGGCGAAGATTTTCTATGTATACACAGTTCTATTTAAATACAGCAAATTATTTGTGTAAGATGTGTATTGGCTGTTCCAATCGGTGACTACGAATCACTACTCTGTTACCAGGTTTAATATGTATTAGACTGTGACTTCTACTTTAAAAACACTGACATGGTTACAGAAGCGTATAGGCTGGAAAAAGTTCATAAATTTCCCCTTTCACATATGTTTCTGCTATTGATCTTCTTGGATCCCTTTTACCAAAGAGTTCTAATTTCAGTTTCTTTTTATTTATGCCCATAGTGTTCACTAAAATGATGGATCTCAACTTGGTCTGGTTGAACCCGCTGCCATAGAAAAGCCATGGATGAGAAGACCTCCCCGCTGTGACCTGAACTGCATTTCAATGGATACAAAGTACAAGGAAGACCTCTTCAGAAAGTATGTACAGTTCCATGAGTCGAAACTGGAAGCTTCAGACACTAAGCAGAGAACTATCAATGATGAATACCTGCGCACAGCGGCCTCGGCCCTACTTAGCTTGCCTAAAATCGACCCGTCTTATCGATTCAGGCTGATTAGATTCTACGAGGTCTGTGAAAACTCTCTGAAATCCCTGCGGACATCAAACCTACGCTCCCTTCACAATGCAGCGGCAATGCTGGAGACTATTGGGATTAATCTTTTCCTTTATCCATGGAAGAAAGAATATAAAAATATCAAGGTGTGAACATTGGCACAGATTGCTTGCTTTTTCTGAAGGTTGCTTTACGATTCCAGTTTTAGTTGTATCATGAGTTTAAATTGAATGTGTCGGCTAACGTGTCCCGTGCTGTTTGCAGTTTGTTTTATGTTTGTGAGAAATTATAGTTTTAATCTCTTTGATAGATGTTAAAAGGAAACGCCAGTGCCAGGAAAACAATCCGTTTTCCTGGCACTGCAGGTCACCTCTCCCTCCCACCGCCCCTTCCCCGGTTGCTGAAGGGGTGAAAACCCCTTCAGTAACTTACCAGAGGTAGCGACATATCCCACGTCGCTGCTTCTTCCGCCGCTCCTCCTAGTGATTGCGTCGGCCGGTTGGCGAGACTGAACGCATTAGCACTCCCCATAGGAAAGCATTGAAAATGCATTTCAATGCTTTCCTATGGGGAAATGAGCGACGCTGGAGGTCCTCACACAGCGTGAGGATGTCCAGCGACGCTCTAGCACAGGTTTCCTGTGCTAGAAACCAGGAAGTGCCCTCTAGTGGCTGTCTAGTAGACAGCCACTAGAGGAGGGGTTAACCCTGCAAGGTAACTATTGCAGTTTATAAAAACTGCAATAATTACAGTTGCAGGGTTAAGAGTAGTGGGAGTTGGCACCCAGACCACTCCAGTGGGCAGAAGTGGTGTGGGTGCCTGAAGTGTCCCTTTAAATAACTTCTCACCTGCAGTGCAGGCATAATTACACTAATAGAACACCCACCTACCCCATCACATTTGGCCCAGCACTAACACTAGCAGGGTATGCTTCAGGTAACCCGCATGCTTTTGTGCCAGCACATCTCAGTAGGTCTGTCATTCAGTTTCTGTATTCCTCTAGCACAAACTCCAAGTGCGCTTGCTACAGCAATTAAAGCATAAGCAATGTAAAATAATATGCCATTTATCAGCTCCAGCTTTGCTCAGGGGATAAAGTTATTCTTACTTTATCTTTTTTGTTCTTACTTTTATCTTTAGTCAAAATGAGTATTTCATAAAGATTTTATCTTTGTTAAATACTCACAGATGACCAGGTTGCTTTAAAGTGTCCCTCCAAGCACTATAACCACCGTAGTGATTTAAAATGGTCATGGTGCCTTGTCTGTGCAGCGTTTCGTTATGAAACTCAGAGATTAACTCCTCTGCTGCTGGATGTGTAACTTCACCTCTGAATGCATCATTAGCCAGTCCAAGAGTTCCAGATGGTTAATGTGAATTCTGTGCAAAGTTGGCACCTTATGCAGGTACGCACATCATGCTAGCGTCAGACTACTAATGCCCCCCGTGTTCTACTCCTGACTCTTTTTGGCTTTCGTGCTGTGTAAAAATGTATATAAGGAATACGCCTTGTACATTCCTACCAATCAAATTATAGGAGGAGGTTAGCAGTGGCATGAATCTTTTAGATCTAGCTAGTTACATTGTTTACTTATCACAGATTGCATTGCAGTAGTGTGAGGTACAGTAGGGATACAGTGTGTATGCACTAAGATTTTACAGGTAACTGTATAGTAGATGTTAAAGTGGCTCTCTCATCTTCTGGGGTCTATTTTGCAAAGGCTCCCAACAGTGACTGTGCTACTCTGGGTGCAGCAGAGGTTATACTTCCCTGATGCTGTCCTCTGTGGGTGCTTAATTCTTCAGGTGCCCATGCTCTTGCACTAGAGCTGGGCTTGACAAAGCCATCGTGACTAGGAATTGTGCCCTGGTGCCTAGGTGTTTGTCAGCACGTTCTGTCCCTGAGGTGACCACCTGAGGGAGATCAGAGGCAGGTGGGTGGGCGAGTGGCTGGCCAGTTGAATGAGTGTAGGCGGTGAGGGAACTATAATCTTCTTGCTCTGCCCCTCGCATGCCCTGCCGGGAGCCGGAATATTTCTCTCCGGACCTGGCATCACTAAGCAGCGCATGAGGGAGCAGAGCCAGAAGAGCTTGAAAATGAGCAGAGAGCCTCACAAGACCCCAGGAAAAGCATCCACTCCAGCTCTCACAAAGGTAGGGCGATGGGTGGACAAATAATAAAACAAATCATTTGTGTGTGTGAGCTTTACAGTGTAAGTGTGCAGACTCATTAAGCTATAGTGGTTCCGGTGACTATAAGGTCCCTTTTAAGGAACTTATGTTGATGTTGAAAAATCCTAACTTTATCTGGCTCCTAGATTCCAAGCAAATTGGACAAGGCCTGCACTAGAGCCTCCATAGATATTCTCTTGCGATGAGCATGATAATGCCTTATTCACACAGTGGTGACAACTGCTTTAAGTGTAGTATTATAGAGGTGTATTATGCATGTGAATTGGGCCTAGTTTTTTGTTTTTTTTTGCTAATTGGAAGATGGCTGGCAGATTAGACTAAGTGGAGAAGGAAGTGGAATTTGAGGAATCCGTGTAAGAAAAATGTTACTTTATTTAACCTAGTGTTTCAAAGTTTTTGGGTGGTTAAGAATTGGAGAATACTGTTTGGCTGGATAATATGTATTTTTTTTATATTGTTATATTGTATATCTGACCTGATGTTTTATCTCCCCCTTTTCTCTTGCCAGACCTACACTGGGCCATTTGTTTACTATGTGAGAGCTGCTTTGGTCGATGATGATATCCGGCATATTTTAAACAATATGGGATATGTTCAAGAACTTGGGACGGTTTATAGACTGAAAGACCATGTGGACAGCACTCAGGTCAAGAGAGTTGCTTTTGAGCTTTTCCTCGCCCGAGTGGAATGTGAACTTCTTCTTGAGATCTATTTACAAGTGAAGGACAAAGGCTACCTGGAGATTAATGTTGTGAGTGAAAGGAAGAACAGCAATGAGGACGTCAGAGGGTGCACCGATGAAATGAAACGCAGGGCAGAATGTAAAGAAACCTTGAACATATCTATGGCAAGAATGATTCTTCAGAAATCAGCCAGTGAGAGAGCTCCCTCAAAAGACTACTTCAAGCAGAAAGTCACTAAACCATCAAAGTCGGTGGACACCTACGACAACTATTGGGATAGCAAACATAAGCCTCCCTTGACGGCCACACTCAGTCTGAGGAAAGAGCCAATTTTGGTAGACGCTGAAGATGACATCAAAGATGAGATAATATGGCCATCTCCTTCCTTGTTGACTATGTCCTCCTCTCTACATGGTTGCTCCGATGAATTTTTAAACATTTCATCCAACCCAAATGGAGCTTCTCGAACAAATCCCACCTATGGTTATTTCCCCCCTGAAGACGATCTAGATTTATACACTGAACCGGAATCTAGGATGGTAAATATTAAGCGGCAGGAATTTGCCAAGCCTGATGTTTGGCTATTTAAAAACGATCTGAATCCGCCTTGTCACAAGCGTTCGCATTTAGCCAAAGAGACAGGTTTTATGAAGTGCCAAAACTGCGGTGTATCCTCCGGCGGTCCTATATGCCAAAAGTGTGATAATATGGTTCTCTTCAGGCCAGATGGTACAGCATTGAAGCAAAGCAGCTTAGCAATCAAATCTGCTGTCCAAAATGAGGCTTACTCCTCCAGCCCGGCTCTACGAGAGAAGACCTCTTACGGGACAACGCCGCAAGACAGGGCTTCTCAGCAAAATCCAAAAACTAAAACTTCCAGCACAGTGCGATGCGGCTTTTGTAACCGAATAGGGGCAACAAATACTTGCACAATCTGTTCCAAAGTCTCGTGCGATGCTTGTATCGTTTCTTACTGTCATGAATATTGTTGCCGAAAAAGCGATCACCATAAATTTGCACCAAACAATCAATTGAACTATAAATCACCCCAGCTGTCTCATCTTGTGTATAGATAGATTCGCAACTTAATCTCGATAAAGGGCTAACGTGCAGAACCATAGACTGGAACAGAACTATATCCCCAACCTCTAGAACAAGAGCGCACGGAAATGTTCAGGGAGGAGATTTCAAAAGTTTTTATGGTTTCAGAATACTGTGGATGCTTCTAGTCCTCGCTGCTACAACGGTGCAATAATCCTTTCGGGCTTGCTATTTAAATTATAATGCATTTCTCCTCACATAAAATAAATCACAGTGCTTATAGTGAAGCATTGATTTTAACGTATGGGGAGAGTTAAAAAGCATAACCATGTTGCATAATTAAAGAAAATAAATGAAATTGAATTAAATACAATGCAAATAAACCTTGCCCACTTGGACTGAGATTGACAGCTGGGCACATGCCATATTTCCCCAAGTGTCGATGAGCTGCCGTTTTTTTGCTCAGCCTCAAGTTGGCTATATAATACTTTGCTCCTCTTCTTTCAAACGCGTGCTGTTAATTTATATAGCAAGTGAGCACTTAAAGGATCTGTTCGAAATGCTACATCCTGAAGGACTACACTCTTACAGTTGGTTTTATTGTAAACCTACATGCTAATTCATTCATGGAATAATTTGCCAATTGATGGAGAACCTCTCTTTGTTTGGTTCTCTGTGTCTGGTGTGCATGCAGTGATTCTGCAGAATTGGTATCTTAAGATCAGTGTTTGTGTTGTCCAGCATAGTGTATAGGAAAGATGTTCCCTATTTTCAATTGTTCGGCAGTTTGTGTACTCTAGGTAAGTTTAAGGGAGTCACTGCTTTCTTTATTATCCTCCAATATAAATGTACAAAAGCAGTGCCCATGCATCAGAAGATTATGCTCTAATATGTTACATGGTGTCCTAAACCTTGCTACTCAGAGGATGGGGTGGGGGTTTGAGACAAGGTAGGGGTGGTAAATCCTTTTACAGCCAGTTAAAGATTTTATATCTTAAGCTGTGCAATTTCAATATGTTCATTTATGTAAGTGCTTCCCGACTACAGCCCTCACGGTCAATGGTGTCTAGCCGTAGTTTGACAGGTATCGTGACTTGCATCTCCCATGGTGCTCAGCCAGCCTATAGAGTCTCTGCATCATTTTACAGTGAACAAACGTCTGCAGCGCTGTGTTAGCCGTTGCTTGCTTAAAGGAACTATAAAGACTATATTTTTGTTAACTATTTTAGAACATCACAACAAGCTCTCTGTAGTGTTTGCTGGCAGAACTTCACATGGTGTTACTCATATCTGAAACTGGGCAGTGAAGGAAAGAATGGTGTCCCAAAAAACAAAATGAACACTGTCTGCTTAGTCCTTTCCAGACTGCCTTTCAATGCAGTCATACCATTCCATGCCTTATGGTAGTATGGAATGTCCCGATTACTTAATATTAGCTGCTCTTTACAGACCTGATACTTTCACAAAATTATTTGCCATTGGCCTTTAAGGGGTCAAAGAGGAGTTCATTTATAGGAACAATCCAAACCCAGGAAATACTTAAGTTTTCTGAAGTGCTTAAAGGGACACTCCAGGCACCCAGACCACTTCTGCCCATTGGAGTGGTCTGGGTGCCAACTCCCACTACCCTTAACCCTGCAAATGTAATTATTGCAGTTTTCAGAAACTGCAATAATTACCTTGCAGGGTTAAGTCCTCTAGTGGCTGTCCACTAGAGGGCACTTCCTGGTCCTTAGTGAGGACCTCCAGCGTCGCCAAAATCACCATAGGAAGGCATTGAAAAGCATTTTCAGTGCTTTCCTACAGAGAGGTCTAATGTGCCCGCCGACTGACGTAATGAAGGGGAGGGGCGGCGGAGGAAGAAGCAGCGATGTGAGACATGTCGCTGCCTCTGGTAAGTGACTGAAGGGGTTTTCATTCCTACAGCAACCGGGGATGTGAGGTGGGAGGGGACCTGCAGTGCCAGGAAAACTGATTGTTTTCCTGGCACTGGAGTCCCTTTAATGGTTAACAGTGTCCCTGCAGCATTTATTTAAAAAATAAGTGTCACTTTCAATAAAAATCCACTTGGCGTTCACTGGTGGCTGGCAACCAATAATCATTGCTGGCTCTGTGTGAAGATGGCTGCACATGCTCCCTTCCTCGCATTCAGCTGATGATCTCCCTCCAAGTCAGAGCTGAGCTTCAGCGAGAGATCCCCTTATAACTGTCTTAGAGGCAAGTAATCTCTTTAAAAATCGTAAACTAAAAAGTGTTTACAACTCTCCAGCGTTATTAATAAAAGCTTATACAACACTGGATTGTTCCTTTAAAGGAAATTCAAGCTGAATTCAAACATATTGGAAAAAAAGAGTCCTAATATTGAATCTCTTCAATGCCATATTAGACAGCTCTGCAATAGGGCGTAAGTCACGACCCCCAAACCTTTGTAAAACGTGCAGTACTAGCATTGGTACATCTCCTGGTATAAAATAATTTAGGCGTTGCTGCTAATTTTGCTTGTGAAGCAGCACAATATAATATTCTAAGTCCTAATGCAAGCCACACATAGAAATGCGTTGTGCAATTTAATTTTAATTGTTCTTTTATCACAGCTAGTTTGATAGGTCGAATTAGCTATGGTTAATCCATATATGTATGTATGGTCTCTCATTATTATTATAATAATTATAATATATAGCGCCAACAAATTCTGTAGCGCTTTATCACCCTCAGCCCGAGTATACAATGGAGAGATACTATTAATAGGCATTCCAGAACTCCTGGTTTCGCCCAGTACTTAAAGTGCTCCTTGTGCGTAGACCCAATGCTGACGTGTACCAGCACTGACTCTTTTAAAAGGGGCTTTGTAGGAACCATTCCGTATTTGCAGAGTGCTCTATCCTTCTCATTAACCAGCCGGGTTTAGTAGTTAGATTTCCTCTTTTAACGGTTTAGGTGCTTGACATTTCCTAACGAATGCACCTTGCTGAGGCAGTAAGGAAGCCTTGCCATATATGGAACTCAAGATCTTTAGTTTCTGAGCCTAGATACAGCTTATGGGAGACTCCAAAGCTACAGTCTGTTCATCCTGATTGTACACCACTCCGTGCCATTAGTTGCAACTCCGTGCTAGGAAGGACCTATGACAACCCAGAACTGGATCAATATGATTTAATAGGTCTGTGCTTTAGCATTCGTAGCCCATGGCCTTCACTGCTGTCATTCAAAACATGAATTCTTTTAGGAACCCAGATCATGTACACAGCTTTAGCTTGACTCATTTGCTTAAGTGGTAAAACTATCTCAATGAGCCATTCACTTGTAAAATGTGACTATATCAATATGTATCTTAACCTTGCTGCAAGGAAGGCAGTACTGCTAAAGTACATTATCAGCTTTAACCTGTTACCTGAGGAATAGGACCTGCCTGATCTATCCAAGGGGGCCAACTAAAGTTTGACCCAGGGGTTATGGCATGGGGAACGGCTTCGGCTGAATCATTTGGTTTCTGTATGAAGCCTTTTTGCACTCCACTCTGTGTCGGCCCCAGTGAGCACTATATTAATCTGTGTGAATAGGGATGTTGGTTTCCTAAGGCATGGTGGTGGGACAGAAGGTCTGGGTGCTGCCACAAACAAAGTGTTCAATTAGAATGGCCAGGGTATTGATCTGCATAATTGCATATTGGAAATTCAGCTTGTTAATTTTCAAACTTTAATATTAATACTGCTTAATTGTCGTTTGTGTACACATTTTTTTTTTAAAAAACGAATCTATGTAAGAACTCTTTTAGAACTTTTTTTTTTTCTTGATTCTCATCTGTGCTAAAAGGGAATTCCACTATTTGGTGTTTCAAAGCCTGTACACATTTTCTCTGTGAGATGGTAGACATTACTGTACATGCAAAGTGCCAGGTTGGTCTTTTATTTTTCCCCTCCTGCATTTACTGTACAGGCATTAAAGACCCATGTGAGTGATCTTGGTATAATGCATTTTGGGGTCCACGCTGGTGCACCTCCCAAATCCATGTTACTGTCCCCAACATGAAATATGACATATAAATACAGGTCCTCCTGTATCCATAGCCTGCTTACATACATATTTAACACTTAGCTTCTTGCTTTCAGATGCCCATTTAGGTATCATGCTCCGTCCATTTCTCTCCGTCACCTTCTAACTCTCCCCAGAACACAGATAAAACGTTCCGTAAGGAGTTTGACCAAAAAAACCTGAATGTGAAATCGGAATTGTCAGTTCTGAGTGAAGCACGTCCTTTCTCTATCAACCCAGGAATCCAATTTGAAGTAATTGCTGGGGTGAATAATATAACAGAGGCAAGTAACTAAAATAATGCCTCGGCAGCAATTTCATGTCCAGAGCAACATTAATCCATCTTAGAGTGACCATACCCGTTTGGGCATTTGCTGATAAATACTGTAGTAGCAGAGGCTCGCTCAAGAACTCCTTCCATAATACTGTAGGAGTGTATATGGTAAATGTTGGGTTAAATTAACTTGTATGCAGTGCTCTGTGCCAAGACAAACAGACTTACAAAAACTAACAAAAAAACCCATTCAGATTTTAAATAAGTAAATGGTACAAACATAGCTATTTTTTAGTTTGTGCAAAAATGTGAGATCTGACCATTCCGCTTTGATTTTCCCCATAATCTACTGATGCCAGCAAGCCATGTCACAAATTTGAACACACAGCCTTCAATGTAACAGACAAAGCATGGAAATTGGACTCTGCACAATTCTATCCGATGTACTATACTCCTTCACATTGATATATACTTAAAGTTATACTGTCTTGCTCTATAAATCGAAAGTGAACTGCTCTCCGAAAAATAATTTTGCATATTCTTAATGTATATAGATAGATGTATATAAACAGTGATGAATTTAACAGAAACCTATAATCCATGAAATGTACAGTGCCTAATCTGCTATTTTAATATATATTTTTTTTCCAGATCTATATTTGCCGGGCCACTCTAGATATTTTGGTTTCCATCTTGTTAATTCCATTCACTGAAGTAATAAACTTGCAATGCCACGTATCCTGTACACTGATCATAGCAGAGCAATTATTTTTGCTTTACCTAGGAGTCCTTTGTCTATAGTGCCATATATAGTACTAAAACTGTTGCGTTGCGAGTGATCTAATGCTATTTTTGTGTGTATTTTGTTGTATACGATTGCTGTGATGACAGTAAAAAAGATCTAAAATATAAACTAATTTAAAATATGGATGCGTTTCAAATTTATTTCATTGGAGTCCAAGGAGAAAAGTCAATCAAACTTATAGGGTTATTCACTAAAGTGAGAATTCAAGGAGACTTTCAGATTTTAAGGTGAGAATAGCTGAACTGGAAAAATTCACTCACTCAGCTGTGCTTTCTGTTTGGCTACTCTGGCCTTCAATTTTATATTCACTTTGAATTCTCACTGTAGTAAATAACCCTGTTGGTGTTCTAAGTTTCATACTGAACCAGAGCTCTGTTCCCTCTGACATGTGCTTTAAACACAATTAATTGTAGTGGTTACCATGGTTGGGCTGGGACAAGAATTCCCCCACGGCATTTAAAAACTGAGGGCAGGGCTCTGGTGGGGGGGCCTGTTCATTTGATTCCCACCTGGTCAGCCCATACACAAAGCCGTGCTACATTTTTCAGAATACATTGTAGTTTTAAGTGCAGCTTAAATGTACGCCCTGGGCTCCTCGTTAATATATCTTATTGCAGTTCTATTTATGCATACTCAAATCATTCTAGTACTTACAAAAGACAAGCCTGCCTGCCCCCTTGCCACGCTCACTTACTCCAGAAAGTCTTCCTTATTAAATGTACGTACACAGCACTGAGTTAACATCTTCCAATTCAACCTGGTTTCAGATAGAGAAATTGTAAGCAGGTAGTGATATATCCTTACTGTACGTCTCCCTGGGTGTCCTCTCCTTCTAATGCAGGTTGCTTGGTAGATCAGATCAGTCAATGCTGTTAGTGAGCACAGCAAATTAATGAGGCCAAAAGCATTAAAGGATCATTACCTGGTACACCTCATTGCCTTGCTCTCAGCCAATGACCTAACAGGAACTTCAAGCACTTCAGCAATGTGAGCCGAGACGGGGAGCAGTTCAGAAACCGTATGACTCTTGGCAATGGGGGAGAGCACCAGGGTAATCATGGCACCATAACGATTACCGTGAGCTGTTATGGTGTTTGGCATGTTGCTTTTGCAGGTGTTTTGGTTACTAATGTGTCCCTTTAACCCCTTAAGGACCAAACTTCTGGAATAAAAGGGAATCATGACGTCGCATGTTGTGTCCTTAAGGGGTTAAACACACTATAGTCACCAGAACAACTACAGATTATTGAATGTTCTGGTGAGTATAATAATATAAACCCACCCAGTATAACTAACTGTAACCTAACCTACACAGTGCATCTAACGTGTGTGGGAGCCTGGAGTGTCCCTTTAATAATATAAACCTACCCAGTATAACTGTAACCTAACCTACACAGTGCATCTAACGTGTGTGGGAGCCTGGAGTGTCCCTTTAATAATATAAACCCACCCAGTATAACTAACTGTAACCTAACCTACACAGTGCACCTAACGTGTGTGGGAGCCTGGAGTGTCCCTTTAATAATATAAACCCACCCAGTATAACTAACTGTAACCTAACCTACACAGTGCATCTAACGTGTGTGGGAGCCTGGAGTGTCCCTTTAATAATATAAACCCACCCAGTATAACTAACTGTAACCTAACCTACACAGTGCACCTAACGTGTGTGGGAGCCTGGAGTGTCCCTTTAATAATATAAACCCACCCAGTATAACTAACTGTAACCTAACCTACACAGTGCACCTAACGTGTGTGGGAGCCTGGAGTGTCCCTTTAATAATATAAACCCACCCAGTATAACTAACTGTAACCTAACCTACACAGTGCACCTAACGTGTGTGGGAGCCTGGAGTGTCCCTTTAATAATATAAACCCACCCAGTATAACTAACTGTAACCTAACCTACACAGTGCATCTAATGTGTGTGGGAGCCTGGAGTGTCCCTTTAATAATATAAACCCACCCAGTATAACTAACTGTAACCTAACCTACACAGTGCATCTAACGTGTGTGGGAGCCTGGAGTGTCCCTTTAATAATATAAACCCACCCAGTATAACTAACTGTAACCTAACCTACACAGTGCATCTAACGTGTGTGGGAGCCTGGAGTGTCCCTTTAATAATATAAACCCACCCAGTATAACTAACTGTAACCTAACCTACACAGTGCATCTAACGTGTGTGGGAGCCTGGAGTGTCCCTTTAATAATATAAACCCACCCCGTATAACTAACTGTAACCTAACCTACATAGTTCATCTAACATTTGTGGGAGCTTGGAGTGTCCCTTTAATAATATAAACCTACCCAGTATAACTAACGGTAACCTAACCTACACAGTGCATCTAACGTGTGGGGGAGCCTGGAGTGACCCTTTAATAACATAAACCCACCCAGTATAACTAACTGTAACCTAACCTACACAGTGCATCTAACGTGTGTGGGAGCCTGGAGTGTCCCTTTAATAATATAAACCCACCCAGTATAACTAACTGTAACCTAACCTACACAGTGCATCTAACGTGTGTGGGAGCCTGGAGTGTCCCTTTAATAACATAAACCCACCCAGTATAACTAACTGTAACCTAACCTACACAGTGCATCTAACGTGTGTGGGAGCCTGGAGTGTCCCTGTAATAATATAAACCCACCCAGTATAACTAACTGTAACCTAACCTACACAGTGCATCTAACGTGTGTGGGAGCCTGGAGTGTCCCTTTAATAATATAAACCCACCCAGTATAAGCTAACTGTAACCTAACCTACACAGTGTAACGTGTGTGGGAGCCTGGAGTGTCCCTTTAATAATATAAACCCACCCAGTATAACTAACTGTAACCTAACCTACACAGTGCATCTAACGTGTGTGGGAGCCTGGAGTGTCCCTTTAATAATATAAACACACCCAGTATAACTAACTGTAACCTAACCTACACAGTGCATCTAACGTGTGTGGGAGTCTGGAGTGTCCCTTTAATAATATAAACCCACCCAGTATAACTAACTGTAACCTAACCTACACAGTGTTCCAGTGTGGTTGCTTTGAGGATTGCTGTAATGTGCGCCTTTACATAACTGTCATAGTCTAATTCGATTTGTTCTAATGATAGATTTTTACACTTGTGCATTGTGGAATTTATTTCACCTCGACTGAATGGGGAAAAATAAATAAATATTGGAATGGCCATATTAGGGGCATGCGGTGTTTAGTCAGATTTTCATCCGCTGAAAAAGATTTGTGAAAACAAATCCGACAAACCAATATATTTGGTCAATCTCTCCTGATCTGTGAATACAATCAACAATTAGTGACTATCCCCTAGAGACATCTGTCATCATTTGTTTGGTCCACGGTCATATCAGAGCAAAGTGCCTGTCCTTTGCATGAGTCAATTGTTTAGGCTATGTGGCAGCTCAGCAAACTGGACGATCGGCTAAATTGTGGACAAATTTATGTTGAGATCTGCACTTTTTGTAAAATGAAAAAACCTCAGGACACTTAACAGAAATCACTTCAGCAAGCTAAATGGCTTTAGGGTCTGTTGTATCCGTTTAAAGCAACCATCCATTTGCCACCTGCACAGTGTGTCGATGCAATACAATTCGCTGCCTAACAAACACACCCTACATTAAAGCCTGGAGTGTCCCTTTAATAATATAAACCCACCCAGTATAACTAACTGTAACCTAACCTACACAGTGCACCTAACTTGTGTGGGAGCCTGGAGTGTCCCTTTAATAATATAAACCCACCCAGTATAACTAACTGTAACCTAACCTACACAGTGCATCTAATGTGTGTGGGAGCCTGGAGTATCCCTTTAATAATATAACCCCACCCAGTATAACTAACTGTAACCTAACCTACACAGTGTATCTAACGTGTGTGGGAGCCTGGAGTGTCCCTTTAATAATATAAACCCACCCAGTATAACTAACTGTAACCTAACCTACACAGTGCATCTAACGTGTGTGGGAGCCTGGAGTGTCCCTTTAATAATATAAACCCATCTAGTATAACTAACTGTAACCTAACCTACACAGTGCATCTAACGTGTGTGGGAGCCTGGAGTGTCCCTTTAATAATATAAACTCACCCAGTATAACTAACTGTAGCCTAACCTACACAGTGCATCTAATGTGTGTGGGAGCCTGGAGTGTCCCTTTAATAATATAAACCCACCCAGTATAACTGTAACCTAACCTACACAGTGCATCTAACGTGTGTGGGAGCCTGGAGTGTCCCTTTATTAATATAAACCCACCCAGTATAACCAACTGTAACCTAACCTACACAGTGCATCTAACGTGTGTGGGAGCCTGAAGTGTCCCTTTAATAATATAAACCCACCCAGTATAACTGTAACCTAACCTACACAGTGCATCTAACGTGTGTGGGAGCCTGGAGTGTCCCTTTAATAATATAAACCCACCCCGTATAACTAACTGTAACCTAACCTACATAGTTCATCTAACATTTGTGGGAGCTTGGAGTGTCCCTTTAATAATATAAACCTACCCAGTATAACTAACGGTAACCTAACCTACAGAGTGCATCTAACGTGTGTGGGAGCCTGGAGTGTCCCTTTAATAATATAAACCCACCCAGTATAACTAACTGTAACCTAACCTACACAGTTCATCTAACATTTGTGGGAGCTTGGAGTGTCCCTTTAATAATATAAACCCACCCAGTATAACTGTAACCTAACCTACACAGCGCACTTAACGTGTGTGTGAGCCTGGAGTGTCCCTTTAATAATATAAACCCACCCAATATAACTAACTGTAACCTAACCTACACAGCGCACCTAACGTGTGTGGGAGCCTGGAGTGTCCCTGTAATAATATAAACCCACCCAGTAAAACTAACTGTAACCTAACCTACACAGTGCATCTAACGTGTGTGGGAGCCTGGAGTGTCCCTTTAATAATATAAACCCACCCAGTATAACTAACTGTAACCTAACCTACACAGTGCATCTAACGTGTGGGAGCCTGGAGTGTCCCTTTAATAATATAAACCCACCCAGTATAACTAACTGTAACCTAACCTACACAGTGCATCTAACGTGTGTGGGAGCCTGGAGTGTCCCTGTAATAATATAAACACACCCAG